ACGTTTCTTTCACAATGCAATTGCATGACTAGAACTCATTTTTATCTTTAATATCAAAGTACTGTTTGTTAGTAACCTTCTTGCTCTCAGCAGGCACTACTGTTTACCAGTGGAAGCGCTATTAAAAGAGAGATGCTGCATTTAAATTCTCATGCTCCTATTTCCTTGCCGTAGCAGGATTAGCGATGCCATCAGAATTCGACATCACGATGATTATCATCTCGTAGTGTCGTGTTTCCGCTCCTTCACCTGGTGCCGTGTCCAGGTGGCGTGATGAGGAATATTAGTCTAGGAAATTGAAGTCCAGATATCATCTGCTGTGAAATTTTTGCTGAACACAAAGTTGAGCTTCTTTCACACATAACAAGTTAAACTGCCTCCAATTTTTTTAATTTTTTTTTTATTGCAGCATCAAAATAAAAAGACAGGAGCAAAGTGCACAATTTAAAAATTCTCTTTCTTAGATATAACACACAAAGTGATTACATGTATGCATGCTTTAAATAGGTGCCTTTATTATGCCTATTAAAAAAACACATCTGTCTTCCTTTTTTGTTTTTACATATGAAATGTTGAACTCAAGTATTTTGTTTAATCCAACTTAATGCGTTAAGTGTGAACAAGGCTTTTGAGCCCTTCTGGCATTCAATTACAGGGTAATAGATGACAGTTTCTTATTCAATTAAAGCGGAATATCCTATCCTTTTTGTACTTTTTAACACAGAGTTAATGCCCTTCTCGCTCCAAACAGACAATATGTTTGCTACGTGGTTTTTTAATCCAGCTTAATGTGTTAAGTATGAACAAGGCTTTTGAGCTCTTCTGGAATTCAATTACCGGGTAATAGATGATAGTTTGTCATTCAATTAAAGCGGAATATCCTATCCTATTTAAAAACTTACTCCAGAAATTGATTGTCTCATTATAAAGAGGACGTGAATCTGAGAAACTGTTTCGTTTGGCATTTCTTTTTTTTATAAATTGTTGCATCATTTTTCTTGAGGTGTTCCAGGGGTGTACTTGTATTTTCTTTCTTCTTTCTACAAAGTGATCCTTTGAACATCTGATCTTTTTTTTTCTTTCTATCAGCTTAACAATTTACTGCTTTGTTTGGCAATTCTTCTTTATATAAATTGTTGCATCATTTTTCTTGAGGAGCTCCAGGGGTGTACTTGTATTTTCTTTCTATCAGCTTAATAATTGTTTGCTTGGCATTTCTTCTTTATTGTTTGATCATTTTCTTGTGGTGTTTCAGGGGTGTACTTGTATTTTCTTTCTGCTCTCGTTCTACAAAGTGATCCCATGAACATCTGATCTTTTTGTTCTTTCTATCAGCTTAATAATTGATGTTGTATATATTACTCTTGCCAAACGTGTTTATTCATATGAAGAAGTCAAAGTGGCAGTTGGTGTACATTATACATTTCAAATTCACTCCTGTCTAGCAATGATGCTGTATCTGTGGAGAGCCAGAACAGCATGAACTCTGTGTTTAATCATTTAATCATGAGTTGCGCCCTTCCCACCCTGAGCAAACGATATCATCACTTTGATACATTGCAACGACAGTCTCTTTTATTGAAACCTTGCCAATAAGCAGATATTGCTGATTAGACTCGGCAAAAGGAATTACTTGTGTATCATCCAATTATCATCAATCACACAAATTTGATAATACCGGTTTGCATTTGTGAGATTAGTGCCAGCGAGTCCACGCTGAATAATACACCTCGCTGATGGGGCTGATAGCATACCGCAGAGCGGATGTAGAAAAATAACATTTTGAGGGGAGGGTGGGGGGGGGGGGTTTAAGGGGCATAGGGTGGACTTGCATCCATGAAATCTGCTAAATTGTATTCTTTGTGACCTTGCTAGTTTGCATGTTTTTATGAAAGTGGTGAATAAATTTAATTTAGATTCAATTTTCATATATGTGCATTGTGAAAATGGGAGGGGGGGGGGCTTAAAGAAATTTGCCCCACCCTCTTAGATTTAAAAGTACATGTATATGATTTAACTCTCTTCTGTTACTCTACAACTCACTTCTTGCAACTCACTATGTTACCCATCTAAATTAATCATTTTCACTTATTATTAATTTTGTTTCTTGCCAATTTTGTTTAAAGGTTGGTCATGGATTATACTTAATTTCATTTTTAACTGGGAATAAACACTAGGAATATATTTCTGTTTTGGAGATGTGTACAAAATCATTGGTTTATGTTGCACATTTTTACTACTTTTACAGAATAAAGAAATTGTTTTGTTGTGAATTTTTTTTTTTCTTTTTTTGGGGGGAAGCACTCAAAAAAATTAATCACTCTCTGTTCCCTTGTTTTTATTGTTGTTTGTTTTTTTTTTTTTTTTTTTTGTTTTGTTTTTTTTTTCTACTTCTTCTTCTTCTTTTTTTTCTTCTTCTTTCTTTTCGTAACTTTTTGAAGCTAGCCAATAAGATATTGAATTTTTTTTCAGGTTCAGGCTTAATGCCTGGTCAATGTAGAGAAAATCTTGATTTGAAAGAAAAATTGTGAGCTACAAATTACATTTTCCTAGGGCTGAGGGGATCTTTCTGAAAAGCGAGGCTAAGGTTAGCCAGGAGAGTTCGAATGGATACCTCGTATTTGTTAAACAAATAGCATGGAATTATGGAGTCTTCTTCAATACCTCTGCTCGTGTGACCTCCTACCTAAATGTACACATACTTTCAAACCTGTTGAAATCCATATTGCTTATAACTACCGTAAATCTCTGTGTATAAAGACGCACCTGTGTATAAGGCGCACCCCTAGTTGGGGGGGGGGGGGGAATCGTTTGTGTTTTTTTGTCGAGGTGCAGTTGTAGGCGCTGATTTGTGCTTGTAAACTTGTCACAAATAATAGTAACAATGTCGTTTTTAGAAGAATGTGTAAGATCATTAATGTAAATTAAAAAACAGAGTACCAAGGATAGAACCTTATGGTACGCTGTGTGTAATAGAAGAAAAATTTGAGGAATTATTATAAACTACATATTGAGATCTATTAGAGAGGATACTTTCAAACCAAGATGACAGACATATTTGAGTGTTGTTCTAGTTTCCGAGTGGTGAGTCAACACACCGATAACTGCGCTGGGAGACATTGCCAGGCATAGCGCCAGGTGGAGGGGCATAAATCAAAACTTAATTATTTTTTTTGTACCTGTGTATAAGACGCACCCCCGACTTTGAATTTTTTTTGGCGGCAAAAAAGTGCGCCTTATACAAGTACACAGAGATTTACGGTAGGCATTTGCCCAGTCGCTCCCAGGTGCATCATGGATGGCATATCCACTGTATTTCATTATCATCAGCACCTTTATTAAATAGGCAACTAGATATAGACGCTCTTTAAATTGGAATGAAATACCACTTTCAAGATTAGAAAGTAGCGTGTAATTATTTATCAAACTAATTAGAGTTATTGACAGTGATCATAAATTCAATATTTGAAAATCTTGCAAGACCAGAAATTTAGGGCTTTTTGGAGGCCTGACAAGTAGTCAACCTTTTACCTCTTGAAACCTGATCTTTACACTATGCCAACTTAGTTAGCCCCTGTGCCGAAATTCCCTGAATGCTTTATATTAAACATAACGGGACTCGGCTTGAAGACTGCGATAGGAAACTACTCCGTAAATCTTTGTGAATGCGATGTAATCTTGTTAAGAGTCCAAGCTCAGCAACAAATTAGGAAGCAAGTGATATTCCCCCAAGCGGCAGTGATTCGATTAAGCGCTTATGGATGTACCCGATTCCATGCATCAATTCCGTCCCATTTTTCTCTTATTTGTTTCAGGTGGTTGGCTTTTTCGCCCTTGGAGTAGGAAAAATGGGAAGGTGTCCTCCATGTGCAAACAAATTTTGAAATTAGAATAATAGAAAAGACGGGAGGAAAGAGCTTTGTGAAAGTAGATGTAAATATAATAAAATTTGTTTTATAAGGGGCACTGCATTTTTCACTTTGGTACTATTTCCATTTAATATTTGAAATGTGTATATCCCGTTTTTCTCCCTTTCCTTTTGTTGTTAATATTTGAGGCAAGGGGAGGTGGTTCTTTGTGCATATTCTACCTTACCCTCCCTGTGAAAAATAATTGTTTATTCTTCTTATGACTTTCATCGGATATTAAGTACATTTATCTCTTGCCTGTGTAGATTTCCAAAATGGCAATATGGGAGGAAAAAGTATCCCAAACGTTCATTTCGGGCAGCTAATATGGTGGTCAGATATTTGCTATGATGAAAATTGGTTCAGGCTTTAATTCAATAATCGTATAGGGTTTGGGTTAGGCTATGCTTGCAATGGCCTTTGGGTGGGTTTGGATTTAAAGCCATGCTGTAGTCAAAGCAGTACCACAAAATCCCCTCTAGCGCCATGTCAGGTCAGCTGTAGCAGTATCGTCTCGTAACTCGTTGCTTCCCTAGCTGTGTTGTTGGTTCTTGCATCAAGTCCTCTATCTACGAAGTGGAAATGTAGTATTGTTTCAGATTCCCCATGGCAAAACTAAAGTAACTCTCGGGGACCGTGCTTTTGCTATTGCTGCCCCCAAACTATGGAATAGCTTTCCAATAGAAATATGAAGCACTCCATCTCTCAATGTTTTCAAATCCAATTTAAAAACTTATTTGTTCAATTGAGAGATCCTATTTGTAGAATTTAGTAAAAAAAAGGAGCTCTTAACCAGGGCAGCTGAATATATTTTGTATAAAAGCTGCACTATATAAATTTATTATTATTATGCACTGCTGGCTAGTGGACCATGATATGGCGCAGTGCAATAAACTATGCTATGGCAGAAACGTCATCGGTTTAGTATCGGTATCAGTTGGAGTTACATTAGGTATTCAGTCCAGTGGTTAAAGTTAGGAATTCGGTTAATGTAGGAAGTTAGCCTATGGCAACTTGTCGCAATTACAACCGTTGAAAGAGATGCCATTACCTTATTCTTTGTTTTCCTTTTTCTCTTTTCTTTCCATGCAGAATGGTTTTTTGAATTTGGCTTTGTAATACCGAACTCAACCAACACGTGGCAGTCAACGATAGAAGCAGCTGCAGAGGGACAAATGATGCCCGCATCAGTACTCAGGTAAAAAAAAAAAAATGCATGCAAAAATGAGAGAGAGGGGGTTAAAAGATACGAGAAAAGAAGGATAGAAGAACTGAACAGAAAGAGGAAGCAGAAAAAGAGGAGAGAGAGAACAAGTGATTAAGAAGAGGAAGGGATGGAAATGCAACAGAGGATCAAAGTGTGAACTTGTGGATGTTGATACAAAGAATAAAGAAAGAATAGAGAGGAAGTGAATACAACAAAGAAACTTAATTTGCCAAAAGAATACAGATATTCAAAGAGTGATATCATCATTATCATTATCTCATAAGTATTACCAGATGATGATGATGATGATGAGAGAAAGGGGTAAAAAAAAAAAGGGGGGGGGAAGAAGGTTAGAAGAACAAAAGAACAGATAGGAGAAGCAGAGGAGAGGATCAAAGTGTGAACTTGTTAGTGTTGATAAAATATGAGAGAGAGAAAGTGAAGTACAAACAAAAGAAACTGAATTTGCCAAAAGAATACCGACATTGAAAGAGTGAAGTAGGGGGAGGGGGAGCGGCAAAGGGGGATAAAGTACTATTAAGTGGTGGTAGTGGCAATTATTTGTTTTCTCTTTTTCTTTCTTTCTTTTTTTCCCCCCCTCTTTTTTGATGTTGAAAGTCCTGATCAGCCTACCTCAAGCTTGATTGTACTCCGGCTAATAGAGTAGCTGTCTTGTCTCACATATAAGAACAGGTTTCGAGACCATAACGTTATCTGGGAAGGGGGAAGGATGATGGGACAAATCAGGAGATTGTCATAGAAAAAAAGCATATCGAGTTGTGGGTGATGGATTTAGTGTCGTCTCATTTTACTGACGGATGGAGATTATTTTTTTTTAAATTGGGAATAAAGAGTGCATTTAGAGAGCAGTGAACACTAGAGGTGTTTGCTTAGAAAAAGGAGAGGATTTGAGCATAAATGTAGTCAGCCTATGAATACCTAATAATGTGAAATTATCGAAGGCTTCAAATCCTTTTGCAGACCTAGAAATCAAGATTTAATACATAATTGTTGATATTAGATAGCTTAGACAAATACCGAGATGTATATGGTCCCGAGCTCGTCACGTGATATCAATTGCGAGGATCCAAATTCTTATATTTTCCTGGTTGGTTATATTTTACCAGCTGGTGACATTTTTTTTCATGAATTTTTTTTTCCCTTGAAATTATTTTTTCCACATGCTTTTTTTGGGTAAATTTTTTTTTCTCCCAAAAAATGCTTTTTTGGGTAAGATTTTTCTTTTTTTTCTATTTTTTTCTTTTTTCCCAAAAATGTTTTTTTTTTTTTTTTTTGTGTAAGGTTTTTTTTTTCGTGAACTTTCTTGACAGATTATTTTTCTGTAATTTTGATTGTCCCTGAAAAAAAATTAAAATTTTGGGAAAAAAATATATGGACCCCCCCCCCCCCCCCCCCCCCACAAAAAAAACCCAAGGCTATCTAATATAACAGTAATTGACTGGCAGGGGGTTTATAACATTCTTTGGACCTGAAGGGAGTTATATTTTCCCTCGTGACCATATTTTCCCTCAGCGCTGCGCGCTTCGGGAAAATATAACCACTTGGGAAATATAACTCCCTTCAGCGGTCCAAATAATGTTATATTACACCCCCTGCCAGTCAATAATTGTATAATATCATGGGAATTTATTGATTGTTAGATTGTATCGTGTCAGGTTATTAAATGCTATATGGATAGACAATGGAAAACCGAGTGAAACACTTAGAATTTTAAAGTGCTTTAATTGTTGAAACTGACCAACTGCTATGTTCATCAAATTACTTTGGCCCAGTTGGGGTGGATATTTGATTTTTTTTTGTATTGATATGCACTGATCTTCACAAAATAACAAGTTGGCATGGTACTGAGTAGTCTATCATTCAAAAAAATTATTGTATAATTGTACTTGTTTCTACCATTCGCAGTACATTAACAAATTTTCACAAATTTGAAGAAAATGGATGCTTTCTTGTGTCATATAGTACATGCAAAAGGTTCTGTCTATTTGAGTTAGTAAATATCGCCCTTGTTAAGTGAAAACACTGGTCATGTATGAGAAATCAGGATGGAGAATTGACTGAAAATCTATGCATTATTGACGGAATCTGGCTGGGTTCTTAAAGCGACTACAATTTTCTTTCCGGCGATGGACAGTCATTTGATGGACAGTCATAGAAAATCATTTCAGGACAATTGCTTGGGTAGCACTTTGAAATGAGGGGTTGTAATCCTCCCTTTCTCTCGAAATATGGATGGAACCAGGCCAAAGCTTTCTGGCTGGATTATCAACCTGAAATTCAGGTCTTGTACCTCGAGCCTTCTCGAGTCGACCAAATCGCCGCAACTCTTACTATTCCAGCAGGATGAAACCAGGCCAAAGCTTTTTGGTTGGATTATCAACCTGAAATTCAGGACTTGTACCTCGAGCCTTCTCGAGCCGACCAAATCGCTGCAACTCTTACTATTCCAGAAACTTTGGCTCCTTTTAATGCCATGCTGGTTGGCTCTTGTTTCAAAGGTTGTTTTGATCGTGTTTCATGCTATTCTTTGTACTTTTTGGAAGGTGATGGAGATTGTGTACAGGAACGTCTGTTAAATGAAACTGTGAAACTGATGCACTTGTTTAAAAGGTGCCTTGGGAAATGCAGGTAAGATGACTTTATGTTTACGAGAAACACGATGCAGTTGACACGTTTTGTTTTGTAACTTTTGATTTGCTACAGGTTGAACTGTTTTGACTGGCCCATGTTTTTTCCAGTATATTTCAAAATACATGCTCATTGTTCATGTGGCAAAGGTCGACTTTGGCGGTCCAATGTTTGTTCTATTTGTTGTCCAAGAGGATAAAGAGTGGAAAGACTAGTAGGCGGGCACAAATTCTTGTCAGCCGTGCGTACCTGTGTCAATATGAGACTACGATAGGCTCTGTACTTAAAGCCCCACTGTACTACTTATAGCTACTTGCACCCTCTATATGGCAAACAATGCCCAATCAGTGCCTGTTTGTCCCCCATGATCCCCTTTTTCTTATGTTAATTGAGAGCAGATTTGATGAGATAACCACCTGTCAGTGATCTTGCAGGGAGGTCTAATCCCCCTGGCCAAACCAGTGCAGATGGGCTTTAAGGTTCTCTGACATCGCCAGAGACTGACATATATATGTAGCCCCCTGCTCATGGCTAGGAATTGTGGTAAAGTGTCAAATTAGAGTATGTGCCTGCAGGCTATTAAAGATAAAGTCGAGTTCCGATCATGTTATTGCATTGTGAAAGAAACGGTGTGGAATCTATCAGAAAAGGTTGATCATCTAGTATATATTAGTATTTGTGTGTATTGCAAGGTTCTTGAATCATCAAAATGATAAGAAATTTGGCCAAATCTTGGCAAAATTACAAGCACTATACACAGAATGATGTATATGGGACTACACAAACACATGGCAGAAAAATCCTACCCGGATTTTTACAATATGTTTCATGTCATATATAGAATATGAAGGCATTTAAAGAGCCATGCTTTTCAGGGAACATGTTTAATCTGATGTTCTTCCACCCTTGCATAATAACAATGATAATGCTCACAAAATATTTTTTACCTCTTCCCAGAACTCAACCTTAATTCTCTTTAAAAGACTGACTCAATCAAGAGCAGATTCAGTGTAAAGATACGTGTGGATTATGTAATATCATTATAATGTTCGCTCATTTTGAAAGGGGACAAGTATGCGAGGCCATTACAATTGTCTTCAGTTGATTTTTTTTTTAATTAGTTGTGATCGTGTTTCAGGAGTTATTTTGGGATTTTGGACAATTAACTCAGAGATGAATAAAAGCTTACAAGAGCTGATCCAAGTCAAGATCAACAGATACATGTATTATGCAACCTCAGCTGTATTCATATCCACGTTTGGAAAAAAGTAAACAGGTTATTGATGCTATATTATAGTCTTTATAGCTCCGACCGCAAAATATGTCTGAGCAAATTAATAAACTTAAACCACACTCCACTGAAAAATACGAGGCTGCAATTCAGTTTTATGTCTAGTTGAAGGTCAGGATTAATTGTCGTTGTAGAGTTTGATCGAAAGAATTTGATCTTCGTTAAAAATCCACCGTACAGCAATCGTCGTCAGGGCATAGATATGTTTGTCATACAATTATCAGCAGAGGTTGTGCCATTTACAGACCTGCCAACCAGTATGATTTAGTCGTATTTAGTACGATTTTTAGAAGTAAATACGACAGTACGATTTTCCTTAATAAAATACGATTTTCAAAAAAAAAAAAAAAAAAAAATTGTTTTTGTTTTTTGTTGTTTTTTTTTTTTTAATTTTATATTTTTTTTTTATATTAATATTTTGTGTGTGCGTCTGCCATTTTCAATGGCAAAATGTCCATTCTGTCCTGTAAAGTATCCTACAATCTCACATCGGCAAATGGGGGATGTTTATTGGTTCATCGAACACACCAGTCGTGACGAAATAATGCATATTCAACCAATGATCAATAAAAAAATTCTTCCTGTAGGTAGAAACTGTAAGAGGCATTGATCCGCGTAACAATCCGTGTTTATTTTGAAGAATACAACTTTTGACACTAAAGAATACGGTTTTTGAACTCCAGAGGTTGGCAGGTCTGCATTTAATCCGCAACATTTATCTTTGCCACTTTCTCCATGTTTCCCTCCTCTCGGCACATCAAAGTTAATTGTGCTCTGAGATGTGCTTGATGTAATAACATGGTCTACTGGTTATTCGTTTTATTTGGGATGATAAGGAAGCAAGTGTACATGTGCATCTACACGTACAATGTATGCAAGCAGAACAGCTATGAAAGCGTAAAGTGATTGACCTGGGGGAGGGGGAATTGATTGTAGGAGTAACAGTTTCCCCCCAGACAAACTCACCTTTTTTCCCCTATATATAGAAGTCAAATATGGTGCTCATGTAAACAAAACAAAAAATCTTTAAACTGATGTTATTAATCAGGAG